CAGGTATACACATAATATTTAAAATTGTAGCATTCCTATCATTGTGAGTGCTTGTTGGACAACTGAAAATGTGTAGTAAGTCTTATTATGGTTACAACAAACAGTTACTTACAGCCAGGTCAAAGAGCATTGTTCAGTGATTTGCCTGATTTTAAATCCAGCATGTGCTATTTCTACTTCCCATGTGTACTCTTGTCTGGGTTTTGAAGTTATAATTTGAAAACTGCTTATGTGGTCTTATATAGGAGTCTGTCATGGTGGGAGGGTTAACTTTTTTTTTCTAAGTTTTGATAATTTCACATAAATGGCTTAATTATCAATGTTCGTGGAGAGAGGTTGTGGGGTCTTAGTGACTCCATTTGTAGGTTTGAGGTCAACAGGGTGTTGACTTGGATCTTGATAAACATAATTTACTTCTCTGATCATTATTTGCCATGGCATTTTAGACTCTGACTTTCACATCTCACAGAAGAGGTGTTTTAGAGAGGTTACAGACTCAAGGACCTGTAGACAAATCAACCAACACTCCCATTTCTCACAGTGGGTGGGATGGGGGGAACACACTCTGTTCCCTTTAACACTGCAGCTTAGTTTTCACCACTTTAACCATGATCATCTAAGATTCAGAACCCCAAGTAAATTGAAGGAAACATTCACAGAGAGTCTATACAGTCTGCCCCTTTACATGAGCTAATGCTTCAGTGCGTACAGTATACGGGCACACTGGCTTTTACAGCAGCCTCTCCTATTTGTCTGCAGCTCCATTCCAGGAGCAGGCCAGGCTTGTGTATATTGAGGACGACTGCAATGCTGGACGTAGATGACAAACAGCAGCATTTCAGATGCAACAGGACCAAACAAATTGGAACAAATTTGGAACTCTAAACAGTATACTACCTACTGCCAAGGGCTGCACATAAGTTTCCATTTACAGTGCAAGATGAGACTTAAAATAAGCAAAGTTGGTTAAAGGAAAGCTATTTTGAAAGGATAGCAAGAAGCGAATATTCTGTTTATAATAAGAACAAATTGAACCCTGTTCAAGAGAATGGAATCTTTTAACTAACCTCCATTCTTACTAAGTTTAAAAAAACATGTCCAATTTCTTACATGTACAGTATAATATGGTATCTTTCAAAGATGCACTTGATCTGTAAAAAAATCTAAATTCATGTTCATTCATTGAAGCATATACAGTGATTAGAGCGGCTTTACTTACATGGTAACATATTAACAAGGAAACTGCCCTCTACACTTAAGGTTTTGGAATCAGAAAGGGGCTCCTTTTTGGGAAAAGAATGGTTCAATGTGTCATGTGCCTAGGAAAGTTGCTTTCGTTTCCTCTGAGAACTGCCCTCGCAAAAGAAAACGCCTCAGTCATAAAGATAGACAGTGTTGTTCCAAAGTTGCTTGTTGCTTGCAGTGTTGCTTGATATGGTGGAAGATTTGTGTAACTAAAAAAACATCTAGTCTGCCGGAACACAGTAGCCTAAAACATAGGAGAAAAGTTCATTTATTGCTTCCTGGACATCCAAAAAACTTTTTACTTGTATGAAATAAGCTGTAGGATTGTTGTCCTTAGTTTTGTCTGTGGCTGCCATGTTTGCAGATACACCTGGCAAGAGCAAAAAAGACATCCTTCCCCTTGCACATAGCACTTTTTAACCTCTCTGCAGTTGCACAGCTTTCTCTTTCCCTTTCTGCTCACATCCATCTTTGACTGCTCCCACAGAACAAATCTCTGCATTTTTCATATTGGCAAGTAGATGCGATGTTCTTGCACCAGCACTGTCAAGAAAGCAGCAGAATAACAGCTGTACAAAAGTATTTCTAAAAAGTTGTACAATAGTTGTGCAAAGGTGATCTAAAATGTGCTTTTTGAGTGTCAGTTTACCCCTGCGAACAGTAGTTTACAAGCAGTTCTAAAAGTTTTCACTGTTGAGGTTTCATTTCACAAACACATTTTATCACAAGGAATAAAAAGTTGGAAGGGCCATTGGTTTCATTTCATCTAAAAAGTCTGATTTAAAATGCTCTCCTTCAAATAAATGTGTTTCATAAACTTCAGCTGCCTGATTTCTCTTTACATGTTGTTTATGTGAATGGCAAAAACTACATAAGATTTACAAGGCTTGTGCCATGCTCTGTATTGCTCCACAGTGCACCAGTTGTCAGCTCCAAGGTCACAGCTTTATTAAAGGATCAAGATTTACAATAATGTTAACAAGAGCATGAATGCCTTCACAGACACCTTCCTGTAGTTTACTTCCCTGAAGTCACCTGCACAATTTCTCCCCCTGCCAAAGCTACTAATCAATAAATACTGCACTCTCCTGAAGAAAGTTCAAATGGATCTACCATGTTGCATTAGTAATAAATCTTTGCTTTTGTTTAATACCTGCCTTCAAAAGACATAACCTTCTTTACCTGAAGTAATTAAACTTCCTAACAGCTTTACTTGGTGATTAAAACCTGCTCCCTTTTTAAAGATTGAGAAACTGAGGCATAAGACCATGAAGTCATGCAAGAAGAGTAAAAGACTTGGGAGCCCATCTCTGCCAGCCTCCCATGTGCTGAGGCTGAAGGCCATGCTGCCTGTACCCCAGTGGTAGTTGTGTAGCATCTGAACTGAGGCTTCTGTAATTCTTCGTTTTCATGTACTGTCACAGCCTGGCTAGTGTGTCCCTGAAGCTGATATACAGCTGTGGTGTCATCCTCACTGACACAAGCATGTACAAGAAGCACTCTGCAGGCTGCTTAGCACTTAAGGTGTAGCTCTGTGTCTTCTTCTGGCTGTCCCTTCAGTGTTGATGAGGTTACTGCCACCAGTCACCCACTCAGATTGACTGGTCTGGCTTCCTGCTCCATTCCATGGAAGATAATCAATCACTTTAAACAGTAGGGGGTTTGCCAGCCTATGAACAGCCAAGATAACCCATGTCAGCAGGGATGAGAGCAGGATAGCAGTAACCTCCTGAGCTAGCACAGCTAGCACAGTTACCAGAGGACAATTTTCCATAGCATCTCAAATCCCAGGCCTGTCTTCCCGTGGGAGATCCCTGCCCAAGGAGTTCTGCCTTTTCCACCAGATTTTCTTTCAATCTGAAGTATGGGCAGCAAATATCCCAGCCCAGGCAACTTATTTCACTTTGGGCCAAAGGCTTTGTAAGTGCTTCCCTTGAGAATTTCACAACTCTTGGTACTTAGAGGCATGCAAATTTTGTCTCCATATGGTCTAAAAAGAAGGCATTCAGGCAGTGATTGGTTTTTGTTGTGCTGTCTCTACTCTCCCTTAGGAAGATACTAACATTAATAGGTAATAGTCATTGTGACAGATACTGAACAAGAAGAACATCCTTCACAGAATCACAGGATGGTTCATCTCTCATCTTCACCTGAAGAGAGACCTTGGCTTCAGCTTCAGTCCCTGCAGATCCCTCTCCCCTCCAAACCAAGAGCCCAGATGGTGTCATGGGCATTGTCTCTTGCCGCTGATCACTAGCAGCTACAACAACCAGCTCTGATGGATGTCTAAAGCATTTAGGCTTTCATTTGGTTTTGAAATGCTGGAGTCTGAAAGTATATGTGAACCACAGCTCTTAATGTTTTGTACTCTCTTTCCTGAAAGTCTAACCCCAGGTCAGAGAGAGAGGAATCTGCCCACCTAGAGATCTCCTCTGAACATCTATGGTACAGACAGCTGCAGTCAAGGAGACAGGGGAACCAAGATGAAGGATCCATTTTCTCTCAGTCCTGGGACTGGAACAGGTTGCCCAGAGAAGCTGTGCATGCTCAGTTCCTGGAAGTGTTCAAGCCCAGGTTTGGATGGAGCTCTGAGCAACCTGGACTAGTGAAAGGTGTCCCTGCCCAGGGCAGAGCAAATGGAGCTACATTATCTTTAAGGTCTCTTCCAACCCAAACCATTCTATAATCTCTGAGCAAAAAAGACCAGGCCTAGTCTGAATCTTAGATTTATTATGATTACAACCTTCACAAATTAATATAGTTGATATACTCTCTACAAATCTGTTTCTTTTTAAAGCATTCTCAACATTTTAGGTTTTTTTTTTTTGTGTCAGAAGGCTGAAAACCTGCCCCAGTTCTCAGTAATACCACTAAAACGACTCCATAAAATCACCGCTAGAACCAGTCACAGAATTCTAGCATCAGTTAGGTTGGAGATTTTTTTTTTTATATGCCAAGAGTTATGTCCAGATGAGGTCAGTGCTAGATGTGCTTAATAGACCAAAGTCTTCTCCACCTGCAGAAGTCTGTTGGCATCAGTATACAGCTACATAGATATTCTTTAAAGTTCTTATTCTGGAAGAAAAACGCAATCATACCACCAAATTGCATCAGTTAGGTTGGAGAAGACCTCTGAGATCATCAAATCCAACCTATGACTGAACACCACCAAATCAGCTATAGCACAGCACTTAGTGCCATCTTTTCTTAAACATCCCTAGGAATGCTGATGCCATCACCTCCCTGGGAAGCCCATTCCAATGTTTGATCACCCTGAAGAAATTCCTCCTGATGTTCAACCTAAATCTCCTCCAGCACAGCTTGAGGCTAATTCCTCTTGTCCTGTCACTCCTTAATCGGGAGAAGAGGCCGATCCCCACCTGGCTACACCCTTCTTACAGATGGAGAGCGATAAGGAGCTTCCTTTTCTCCAGGATAAACAACGCCACCTCCCTCAGCCGCCCCTCACTGGTGCTCCAGACCCCTCACCAGCTCTGCTGCCCTTCTCTGGACTCGCTCCAGCACCCCAGTGCCCTTCCTAGACTGAGGGCCCTAGAACTGAACACAGGATTCGCGGTGCGGCCTGACGGGTGCCGAGTACAGGGGGACTGGACAATTCCGTCCAGGAATAACCCACCGCCCGAGCGCCGCCACCGTGCAGGTCTGCGAGCGCCGCTGCTGGGCCGAAGGGCGGCGGGGCGGGCGCAGCGCGGTGGGCGGAGCGGGGAAGCCTCACGGACAGGGCGGAGCGGGGGCCGTGTCGTAGCAGCCCCGCCGGGCCGGGAGGCGATCGCCATGGAAACCCCGGCCCCGCCCCTGCCCCCCCGGGTGCCGCCGGGAGCGCGGCCGGAGCTGCCGGGTCCCTCCTCCCCGGGCAGCGCCAGGTAGAGCGCGGGGCGGGGGCCGCTTGGGCCGGGCGGGAGGAGCCGCGAGGGGCGGCGGGCGGAGCGCAGGCCGAGCTCGTTCCGCTGCCCCGCCGCAGCCCGGCCCGGATCCCACCCGGCGCCGGTGCCCCCAGCCATCCGCTCTCGGACCCCGGCAGCGCCCCTCGGGAGCGAAGCGGGGCCGGGCTCTCCTCGGCCCGCCAGGGCGGGGCTTGTTCGTCGTCCCTGATCCTGGCGGAGAGGCCCTTACGTGTTGCCATGGCCGAGGGGGCCGCGGCGGCCCCGGCGTGCTTCAGCGAGGATGATTTTTACTGCCCGGTGTGCCAGGAGGTGTTCAAAACGCCCGTGAGGACCGCCAACTGCCAGCACGTGTGGGTATCCCGACCCCCCGCCCCTTCCCAAGCCTTTTCCTCGATTCCTCCGGCTCTCCGCCTTGTGCTCCTCGGCTCCCCCGCTCCCGGCGCACGGACCCTCGGCCTGGAGACGCTGGCGGTGAGGATGCGAGCCCAGTGCTGCTCCAGCCTCCCCTCGCCTCTGCCTCTCTTTTGTAGCCGACGAGGACCGGTCGTTGAGGAGAAGCCCCCCCACCTCCCCGGGTGTCTGGTCGGCAGTGGGGGAGTTTTGCTGTGCCGTCTGAGCTAACTCGCGGTTTTTAACTTCATGGTTTTCCCCGTTCCTTTTCGAACAAGGACGGTAGTGTGAGTTGTTCTCTCTTTTCAGTTCATCTATTCAGCATTTTTTTCCAGAGGGACGTTTGATTACAACGTGCTACTTTGTAGAAAAGCAAAATAGCTTTGGCAGCTGGTGCGTAAGGAAGGAGAGCTGTAAAAGCTGGTGACCTGAGGTCTCTGGAAACGCGTGCTGAATGAAGCTTTGCAGTGGTTTTGGCTCTGCTTAAGGACAATAAACAGGAGTTACGCTGATAAGATTGTCCAAAATCACGTGCTTGCTGCACCATTTAATATCTCATTAGTGATCAATCTGGTATGCAGCTCGGTAATACCAGTCAATAAATAAGAAGAGTTTTATCTAGAGTGCATTCCCAAACTCCCCTGATTTCCATATACTTCATCATAAGTACCATTATTTCATGTTTCTTTTAAATGCCCAACTTTGTATTCGGTAAACTATTACTCTATACTTTTTTTTTTTCCCCTAACAATCGTCCGTCTCTCTTCAAGGACAAAGTATCTGACTCTGTATATTTTGTTAACCTGTGTTTGTGGTAACTTTTCAATTTAGGTTTTGCAGGAAGTGCTTCTTGACAGCTATAAGAGAAAGTGGAACACATTGTCCTCTCTGCCGGGGGAGCGTGACTAAAAAAGAAAGAACGTATCCCAAAAGGGCTCTAGATGTTGAAAACAGTATGAAGAAAGCTTCTGGGGGCTGTAGATGCTGTGAGAAGCAGGTAGAGTAAAACTTTAAAAAAAGTTGAATAAATTGTTCATGTTTTTGTCCAGACACGCCTTTACTGTGTGTCATTCTCATCTTGGAGCTGAAGAGCCTATAGTATTTTGAACTTAGCTTTGTATGGCTTGTTCATATACTGGGCATGCAGTGCCTGCTAGCTGTAGCTAACAGGCGTAAACTGAAAGAGCATCTTGAATTGTCAATAAAGGCATTTTAAGTGGAGTGCCAGTTTTCCCCTGTAAAGATGGAAAAAAATGGATATAGCTATAAAACTGGCAAAAGGAAAATTAAGGAGCTGAACATGAAAATTGCAGATATGTGGAAAACCTCAGAAACTCTCTAGTATGGAAATGAAACTGCTTTGAGCTGCTATAAAATTTATTTGAAAACCAAAATATGTGAATTGATTAATTGCAGTGCCCACATGATTAATCATATGTAATTTCCTCCTATCCCATCAGTCCTTTCACATTCCTTTCAATTCCTTTCTAAAGGGATCATTATTTTCGGAATGCTGGGTGAAATCTTGACCCTCATTGAAACCAAGACTTATGTCTCTTTTCATATAAGCAGATGCAGGATTGCAGCCACATTTCTTGTTTATAACAAAATGCATCAAATCCAGGTAGTCTTTATGTTGGTTTCATTTCACTTGGGACTTCTGCCAATGTAAAGATCAGCGCTAATGGAACCCTCAGCTGCTTACATTGTTCCACATGATTCATTGGGATGAAAAGTGGGGAAAAAGAAACTGCTTGCAAGTTGGTAAACTGGACAGAAGAACCAAACAGAATAACTTCAATGGAATTTAGGCACAGGCATGTGAGATACGATCTTGTTCAGCCTCTAGACCTGTGAGCACCATCTGACAGTGCTGTTGGACCTGAAGTTCAGGGGCATGTCCAACACAACTGTCTTCTGGCAAATCCAAGCAACTCATTCTCTTAATTTGAATTAAAGGTCAATTGGCAGCCTTAAGCTGGTGATCATTCACCTATTTGTTTCCCTTCCCTGCCAATGAGTAAACAAACACACCTAATGCAAAAAGAAAATGTTCCTTGCATGAGGTAACAGCAGGCCAGAGAAGACTGAAGGAGCAGTGGTGCTTATCCCATCCTCACAGCCACTCTGTTGTAGCTCATCACCTAATGATCCTGGATCTGGGAGGTGTAGTTCCAGTGACTTTGTTTCAGTTAAATGGTGTTTTCTTGCATGTTTAATCCCTGAGAGAGCTCTCAAATGTCCAGGAGTTTGAGTGACAATGTTCTCCAGTCTCACAGAGTGACACTGGCTCTGAGGAGAGAGGAATTGGAGATGTCCTGTTGGTGAAGAAAGTGTTCATGCTCAGAAGTGAGACACAAGTTCTGGTTTCTGCTGCACATGAAGTCTAAATAATTCCTGCGTGCATTGCTTTCTGTTGGCAGAATTATCTCTTCCTTCTATCTATCCCTGGATTGTTTAGTATGATTTCAGTAATTTGGCATTTTATTTTCAGGTTAGATTTTCATGGATGAGACAGCATTATAAAACGTGTAAGAAGTATCAGGATGAATATGGTGTTGCATCAATTATGCCAAACTTACAGATTTCCCAAGATGCAACAGGGAACAGGTAATCGGGGTGTTCTGTGTGTAACAGTGCATCTTCTTTCCCCACCCCTCCCCCATGGAAAGTTTTTTTTTTTCCCCAGGGCATTTCTTCTTTTTGCATTAATTATTATCCATATTTTGTGCCTCAGAATAGGAGTTTTTCCAAGTCTTTTTCTCTACTCTTAGCAGACAGAAGAAAACCTTTCTGCATGATGGCTTTGAAATGTCTTCTAGTGACTCTCCTAAGAAGTATTTAATATTTGTAGTTTGCTTTCCTTGCCTTGACAGCATTTGAGCAGTTTACTTTGTAACATATTTCATAATATTTACCTCTGGAGAACTTCCTGTCTATTTTTATTCCCCCTCCCCTTTCCTAAGTTTGTTTTAGTGGGTATCCTGTTTCAAAACATCATTGTGCAAGCTTTTGCTTTCTGATTAAATTCATTTTGAACAGATTTCTTATGAAATATGTAAGGAATTCCAGTATGTTATACACCATAAAATCAAATCACACTTGCCATTTGTTTTCAGGCAGTAAAGCTAACCTTTTTTTTCATATATTCTCACTGATGGTAGGGGTTGGGAATTTTTGGTTATTTTTGAAAAGCTTATTATATGTCCATTTCACAGAGCTTTATTATATATATCCTTTTTTTTTTTTTTTTGCCATTGATTTTCTATTTTTAGCAGTCTGAACTTCTGTGTTTGGTTTTCAACCCATCAGTCTATTGCAAGTTGAAGGTGTTACTGGAATTAGCTACAGCAGTGTTTCATTGAAATGTCTGCATATTTTGGTATCACTCTTTATGCAGTTTGCTACAGTAGAATACCTGTGATTATAATATCACAGAAGTATAAAAAAATTTACCATTACTGTATTTGTGCTTGTAAATATTAATGTTCTTAGCATGTCTGTACAGTTTCTTCTGGCTTAGCTGGAGGTGCATATACAGTCAAATTTACTTTCTAAAATGTTCTTCTGCTTTACTCTTCCTTTAGGAAAAAAAGTTTATTTTGTGCTCAGCATAAGAAAGCTTACCTTGTTGTAGTTAAAAATTGTGAATTATTTGTGTGAATACATGGCAGTTAAAGGCCTTTTACACCTTCCTAAGTCAAAAAACTTAGAAAGTGCTACCTGTCTTACATTCATATAGTTCATAATGCTTTCATAATACTTGTCTGTCACCTGCATTGCTAATCTTGTTGACAAAATGTTTGTTGTATTATATGCCATTTTCCTGTAAACGTGTGTAGTGCGCCACCAAGCATCACCATGGTAATTAAATTATCCAGAGAGGTCCCAGTTGATTGGAAATTAGCAAATGTAATGCCTATCTACAAGAAGGATCAGAAGAGTGATCGAGGGAACTACAGACCTGTCAGACTGACTTTGACGTATCAGGGAAGATCATGGAGCAGATCATCCTGAGTGCCATCACGTGTCATGTGCAGGACTGCCCAGGAATCAGGCCCAGCCAACATGGGTTTACAAAAGTCAGGTGCTGGTTGACCAATCTTGTGACCCGCATAGTAGATGAGGGAGTGACTGTGGATGTTGTCTATCTAGACTTCAGGAACATATTTGACAGCATCCCACTGTAGTTTTTTTTGAGAAACTGGCAGTCTATGGCTTGGACAGGTGTGCTCTTCACTGGGTGAAAAAAAATGTCTGGATGGCCAGGCCCAGGGGGGAGGTGGTGAATGTAGTTACATCCAGTTGATCCCTGGTCACCAGTGGTGTTCCCCAGGGTTCAGTTTGAGGCCACTCCTGTTTAATACCTTTATTGATTATTTAGATCAGGGGATTGAGTGCTTGCTCCCTCAGTGAGTTTGCAGATGACAGCGAGTTGAGTGGGAGTGTTGACCTGCTGGAGGGCAGGGAGGCTCTGCATGGGGATCTGGACAGGCTGGATCAATGGGCTGAGGCCAGTGGTGTGAGGTTCAACAAGGCCAGGTGTTGGGTCCTGTACTTTGGTCACAACAATCCCAGGCAGTGCCACAGGCTGGGAAAGAATGACTGGAAAGCAACCCAACGGGAAAGGAGCTGGGTGTGCTGGTTGACAGAGGTTGAGCCATGATCCAGTAGTGTGCCCAGGTGGCCAAGAAGACCAGTGGCATCCTGGCCTCCATCAGAAATTGTGTGGCCAGCAGGATCAGGGCAGTGATTGTCCCCCGGTACTCAGCACCAGTCAGGCTGCACCTCGAATCTTGTGTTCGGTTTTGGGCCCCTGAATCCAGGAAGGACATTGAGGTGCTGGAGTGAGTTCAGAGAAGGGCAGTGGAGCTGGTGGAAGGTCTGGAGCACAAGTCCTATGGTGAGTGGCTGAGGCAGCTGGGGTTGTTTGTCTTGGAGAAGAGGAGCCTCAGGAAAGACCTCATTGCTGCAGTTACCTGAGATGCGGTTGTAGTGAGGTGAGGGTCAGTTTCTTCTGCCATGTCTTGAAGTGAAAGAATGAGGTGAAATGGCTTCACAATTTAAGTTACATGGGGAGGTTCAGATTACATAGTAGAAACTTTTTTTTTACTGAGACCATGGTCAGGCACTGGAATACATTGCCCAGGGTGGTGGTGGAGTCACTGCCTGTGGAGGTGTTCAAGAGGTGCCTGGATGTGGCCCTTGGGAATATGATTTAGTGGTGATTATGGTGGTGCTAGGTTGACATTTGGACAGAAGGTTTCTTTCAGCCTTGGTGATTCTGTAAATACTGAGACATACCTTGATCCAAAGGAAAAGTTGTGAGGGTTGGGATATGTGCCTTGTGTGTTGCCTTGGAATTCATGGGACTTAATGCATATTCCCACCCAGCTCTGTTACTGTTAAACTTTTAAAATGTTGATAGTTGAGTAAAATAATCTGAAGTTTAATTAGATTTTTTTCCTTTCATTTAAAGTAGCAGGAGTGATGCAATATCTGGTACTGGCGAGATGGCTAATAATCAAATACTTCAAGGAGAAACAAGGTAGGTTGCTTACTTGTCTGTAGTTGTTATTAGAATAGATTCTGATAGTCACAGTGCAATGCTAAAACCAAAACACAGAAAGCCTGCACAAAAACACCAGGAGGTGTATTTATAGAATGCTGTAGTTTCTTGTACACTTGTATCTGTTTGTCAGAATTTGGGTATTTTAGTACTTTCCTGAAGGATTTGCGCTAAAAGGTGTTACAAGAAAGCAAAACCAGGGTGTAGCTGCAGTGGGAACAAAAGAAGTCCAAGTCTCAGAAGAGTGCATTTAGGCATACTAATTGTAAATGTACTTCAAAATTGCAATGTGGTAGTAGCACTGGGACTCCATTAGATCTGCTAATATGTCAGTGGGGGTGTGGGGGGTTTCTTGTTGATATCAAAGTAAGGGAAGACAATGATAGCTTAATTCGTATGCTTTCTTAACAATACTTCTGAAACTCTTCTGTTTAATGCTCTTGTATTTCTGTTTACAGTGGACACCCAACCTTCAAATGCCCCCTGTGTCAGGAAGCCAATTTTACCAGACAGCGCTTGCTGGATCACTGTAATAATAGACATCTTTATCAGATCGTTCCTGTGGTAAGTAGAGCTGCTTATGTATGTTTCTTAAGCTACTTTCATTGTAATTATGTGGACAATTTTAACTGTGCAGTTGCTGCTCTTTATCTGTAACAATCACTGTGGTTTGAGAAAGACAGACAATATACTTCACACAGTGCATTTAAATTGAGGAGTGACTTTGATGTGAAAATGTTTCATGTCCAGCCTGCTGGTTCTAAGGCATTTCTGACTTAGTTGTCTCATTTATCTTGGTGTGAAACAGGCTCAGTTTTTGAGCCTGATGCTTAACTCTTCTTTATTTAGTAGTTCAGAACTGTTTCTATAGAATCCCATTTGTAGTATAACTACTGTTTCATGTGAAACCTGCAGTTAGTTTAAAAGTAATCCAAGGTAACCAAAGGGTCTGAAAAAGAAAAATCTGTTTGGTTTTCTATTATTTTCATCTGTATAGGGTGTGTTGTTTTTCCTTTTGGCCTACTTGTTCATCTCAATTTTATGAAAACCCAAACAATAAGTAGGATGCAGTAGTCACTTTCTTTTCTAAATTAACTCAGACAGATAGGATAATATTTCATTATAAAGAGAACCACTTTAGAAATCAACCAAGTTGAAATGTAGTTTTTGAATGTTACACAATTGAGGAAAAGCACACTTAGCAGTATGATTTGATGTCAATGTCTTACTGTGTTTTGGTAGTGGATGAGTAGTAGACTAGTTATTCCTGTATAACATGTCTTTAATGCATTCTGTATTGCCAATAACTTTTTTTTTTCATTCTGTCTCTTCCCTTCCCCCTCCAAATTCAGATCTGTCCTATTTGTGTATCTCTTCCTTGGGCAGATACTAACCAGGTTACTAGAAATCTTGTTAGCCATCTAAATCTAAGACACCGGTTTGACTACGGAGAATTTGTGGTAAGCTTTTTCTTCTTTGATGTGTGGAGGAATAAATGGTAACTTTTTTCCTAAAAATCAAATTGCCAAATAAAAATTTTGTACTTAACATGTGCTCTGGACATGCTGTGTTCCTTTTCTGTATGGAACTCAGAAGCAGACCTGTCTGTTCTTTAACTTCGTTATCAACATGAAGTACTGCTGCGAATAGGTGTTGTCAATAGTCAAACTGCCCCAAGCTGGTGACATAAGCCTTTGGCTTAGTGTTCTCAAACTGAACTATTTATTGCTTTTATTCTGTTTATTAGAACAGTTTATTACTGCTGTTTCTGGGGGAAGTAAAATAGATGCTACTCTCTTTATGGACATTATTGACCTTTTAATACAGAAATTGTGAAGTTATATTCTCAGGACTCAATGTACAGCTTGACTAGCTGGTATTGCTGCTACAGCTGCTCTTCCTGTATGTTGTGAGAGAGACTGAAAAAGAGATGTGTCACTTAATCAGTGTTTAGGTTGTCTCTTTTCAGGCTCTCTTAGAGTAAATTACCTTAAGTAGATGGAGAACTACATACACAGATGTAGTCAGTGGCTGATTCATAAATCAAGCCAACCATTTGGGTTCTGCATGTGGGATCAGAGGGCTGGAGAGTTTGTGGCTTTTTCTACAGAGTTTGACAGGCTTTGGGGTGTGCAACAGGTCTAGTGTTTGAGTCACAGGCAGCCTCACTGGGTCGTGGCAAAGATGATGTATCTTGTCCTTTGAGTTGAGTGAGCTGTGATGAAGGCCTGAAGAGCTAGGGTTTGATAGGGGGAATTGGGCTCTTCACCATGAATGCATCTTTGATGACCTAAAACTGGTGATAGGAATTCTGATTTGGGGAAACTGTCAGAATTGCACTTAAAAGATTCATCACTCTGGCATATTAAGAGCCTGAAGGATATTCCTACAAAAAAGTAGCAGACTTTTTGGTTCTGTGTTTGCTTTCCCATTTTAGGGAATGTATGCTCAACAATCTCTGATTACTGTTGTCTGAGGATCCCATTTTAGTTTTTATTAATGGAGGATGTTGTGGCTGGTTAGAAACCCTGTTAAAATAATTGCATGACACAGTCAGCTTTCCTGAGCTGGCTGTTCTGTTATGCACTTGAGCCTGGGAGAGAAGATGGACCCTTCTGCTTAATGAGCCTTGTCCTACTCTACTGATTCTTCTCCTGTCTCACATATGTCTCTTGGTACTTGGTTCAATAAAAAAATTCTGTGCAATATGAACAATTATCTAGTAGCAGAGTCTTTGTCTAGGTGCCATTTCCTATGTAAAAACATAGCAGATGAGTGATTAAACTAATGACTGTGCTACATCTTGAGTATTTGTCCATTTTGATGATGTTTTCATTCTGTTTAGAATCTTCAGCTTGATGAAGAAGCCCAATACCAAAATGCAGTTCAAGAATCCTGTCATGTGAACTTTTAGAGCCCCCTTCATCTTCATACTGATTATCTGAGAGAAAAATTACTTTGTTCTGTTGCCAATCCAAAGGGTATATTAATAAAAATGTTTTTCAGTACCCACTTTTTGGGCTGAGCTCCTTTTCACACTCATAAGGACTTCTGATAAATGATTTTGCTGAAACTCAGACTTGACATCTTGACTGAGTTCTGCCCCTGTGGAATTAGGGACATTTCTGGAACTTGTCATTCATGTCTTGATTTTCTCTAACTTTTACTACTCTGTTAATTACATATGGTTCATATGATTAATGTAGGATGTTTTAATTCACCAAAACCAACTTTGAAAGTATCTTTAGAAAGACATGCAATGATGCTCTGTTGCACCATTGGGTTTCTTCAAGTTCAGCTGTCTTCTAAGGTATCTTAAGAGATGATAATTTATTTTTTTTCTCTTCTTGCCGAGGACAGGCATTTGTCCTGCCAAGGACTAATTTTATTTTGATGTTGTGATTTGTTTTTTACTATTGCTATGTGATTGAAAATAACAACAGCTTAAAATATTAAAAAAATTTCTACTGATCAACAATGCAGAGCAGGGCTTTTTTCACCTTTCATTGAGAAAGAAAGAATGATGCCATTGCCTAGGAATAACTACATCTATTTTTTCCTCTTTGGGAATAACTAAAATAGGATGCTTGCTTACTAATGTGATGAGGTGTATTCTCAGTACTCCTAAGGAAGATTACATATTTTCTGAGCAATTCAAGATGACATGCAAAAGGTATACTTTTTTGGCCTGTGACCAGGTCTTACTGGAGCTTTTTAAGAACTTCTAGTTTTGTGTTTGGAATTGAAGTTTTGGTCTGTCCTGTCTTTCATTGAAGGCTGTGTAGCTAAATAACTAAACTGGCTCCACACCGACAAAAACTTTTATTTTTGTAAAGCTGTTTAAAACTTGTACATCTCCTGCATCCAAAGGCTTCAAAAAATTGTTGAGAAGAAAAAAACTTACTCTAAAATAGTGACCAACATATTTTAAGAGTTTCTGTTCTACATTTCCACCTTCCCAGCAGGAACATCGTTAAAATTGGAGAAAGTAGTAATAATGCAATTTTCAATTTAAATGGAAAATCCATTTGTAAAAACTTTGGTATCTTTTATATAATACTAAAAGGGAGAAGGGGAAAGAAGGCTGCACAGCATACATTTTGGAGTTTTAAATAGAGAGTGTTCTGAATGTACACCTGTTTGGACTGACTGCATTCTGTGTTTCCATCACCCATTGTCAATCTATTGTTATTAATGAGCATTGCATATGTGGTGGAAAACATCCCCAGTAATTTTTTTAGTCTAGATGGTGATTTATGTGTCATAATATCAGTTGTGCAGCCAAAGTACAGTCTGCTTCTTGTGCTCTGCCTCCCTGTTCCTCTCCAAACAGGTTTTGATTATTCTTTAAATGCCGAGATACTTCATATTCCAAAACTGGTGAGGTCAAAATGCCTCATTTTACAATGTAATGTGTTTCAGAACTGAAAGTTCTAACTTATTGAGTGTTGGAACTAACCCGCTATACATTTTAACTTGCCTTTTCTATCTTAGTTTTTTTTTTGAGTGTAAAATGTTACTGAAGGCTTTGCTGGCTAAAATTCAGAGAAAGTTGTCTATTTCAGAAATGGCTGTCTATTTCAAAAACCTTGTCTGAAGCTTATATACTTTTTTATAACTACTTTTTTGCATTTTGTTACTGTCTCACTACAGTATTTTGACAGCAGACCACACTTGGAACTTGTATTCCAGTTTGCCCCCATACACGTCTGTGTTCTCACTTGTCTGTCAGCTCCATTGCTTGTGTGACCACATACTGATTTGGAGTGGTTCACTGAGCCAACAGAAAAAAAATGTAGATTTTTACTTTTGCTCAGTAAAGCCAACTATTAAACAGTGCCCTTGTACAGAAAAGAACGTCAAGGTACCTGATGATGAAGTTTTACCTTTTTAAAATAAAACCACATTCTATGGTGATTTATTACTGCATACATTTCCTAAGGAGTTTAACAGTTAGATGTAAGTCTAGTTAACTTTTTTAGATTCAACAAAATGTTTATATGATATGGCAATAAATGCCTACAGCCAATACAGATTCTGAATGCCTCATGGACGCTGGAACTACTTATTTCTATTACTTGAATATATCTTGGGAATTACGAGTGAAATGACATCTGTTTTAAAACTCTGGGAAACAATGTTTTCTATAGCAATAATTAGTTGTCACTTGATGCATAGTTGCTGAGCATTTTAGTCATGTTTAAATGTTGAGAGACTTGAATACACATTTTAAAGCAACAAGTGTGTATTAATGCAATATTAAAAAAACCTTTCAAAATGTTTATCCTCTTTATTTAAAATCTGTATTGGCAGGTGCTGCCTTGCTTAAGATTTTGTACTTTTAATATTAAGAGATTGCATCCAGTACATTCACTAGGTAAACATTTAATGAAAATTAAATTATTTGAATATGTTGCTGCTGGTCATGATCTTTCTCACTGAAACTCAGACATGCACAAAAAGCTGTGTATTTGTGATGGGGGATGCCCAAAATATGACATCTTTACGAAAAGATTGCTTCTTAACAATGTTTTCATGTTCATGTTGCGTTATGTATGGTTTCAATATGTTATGTTTGAATTGTACCTTCTGGGTTTTTTCCTATTAAAGTATTTTATTTTCTATTTGTCTTTTTGTTGCATAATAAAGATGATCTGTTCCCTTGGTGCTACTTCTTCCTTTTCAGATGCTTTCTAAAACTTAAATATGTGATCAGTTGTATGTCTACACATTTTGAGTTATTGGAATGGTGTGTATGCTGCTGGAATGGTGAGATGTGACTGGTGATGCATCTGTGAGCTGAGACAAGATACCTTCTATCATACCTTGGGTATTTCCTGCAAGCAGAAAAGATTATAGGTTGGCCCAAATCTGCTTTGTGCATATTTTCTTGTTGCCATGCTTGTTTTTTGCTGTCCCATGTAAAATAGAGATAACATCCTAAAAGGAGACAGAAAGAAGTATGTAATACTTGGGGTCATGAACAAACCTTGTTGTTAAAAGGTTTTCTGAGAAGATTTAATGCTTTTCTGAAGAAATAATTGCCAGTAAATTTGGGCTGGTTACAAGTTTTAGCCAGCAAAGTGGCAGCTAGATGATTTCTCCTGCCCTTTGTTCTTGTGTTGAAAAAAACTTTGGTTATTTCGTGTGCTTTTGCATTTTAAGGACACACAGATACAGTAGTAAAATTGACTTAATGTGTTACTTTAAATGATGGAAATGTAACAGAACTATGTAAATTTCCTTTTTATTAATTTATTCTTTCCCAGTAGAATCTAATTTTCTGATCTCTAGGTAAACCACTATCTTCTGGATCTCTTTATTAGCCCTTTGTTAGAGATTTAATTTAATTTGATTTGATTTTATTATAGCAATTCATATTTCACTACTTAGAGAGAATGCATGTGCTGTGTTTAATTCTCATTGTCAGTATCTTGGTTATAGGATACTTGAGCTCTGTAAAACTGCCCTTTGTTCTCCAGCCTTAAGCCAGGGCCTCATTCCCGGGGAGAGAGGGGGATTTTTGTGCACCCAGTTCATCTTCTGACAGGTTGTTGGGACTAGAAGGCTTTCTGTGTTTGGGAAGCATTTCTGGGTCCCCCCTTTTGAGATTTGACTTTTGAGTCTGGTGAGATTTGAATGAGTGTCTGTGACAGCTATAAAAGAGTGAGTGGTGTATTTTTTTGTATCTTTTGTTTTATGCAGAAATAGACACTAACTCATGAACACTGTTAGGGGATGGGGCAGTGTTTACTGCCTGTGGTAAAGTGCACATTTGTGAAATGACTGCAGAACCTGGCATCCAAGGCTGCTTTATTGCAAGACAGAAGAGCCACAAGGACATCTGATCAAGGTATCTTCAGGTTTCTTTTAGAATTGGAGAAACAAGCAATAAAAGAGTGCAAAAACTGCATAGTCTTGTTTTCCATACAGTGTACATTTGCTCCAGAAATCATGTTTCTTTTGTTTCCTGTTGTGGCTGTATTTGAAAAAAAAAAAAAAAAAAAAAAAAAGAGATAAAATTTAGGGTGTCTGCAATGAGGAGGCATTTCAATAATGTCAAAACTTCTACTTCCCAGGGAATTGCCAGGCTTACTAGGCTCAAAGCATGGTGGTTTTTTTGTTGGTTTTTTTTTTTTTTGTCTCATGAGTAGAGTAGGTCTGTACTGTTTCTTAGATTTCTCAAACTCTAGGTCCGCTTTGGGAAGGACCAGTTTTCACCTCTTCATTTTCCAGTTCTAACCAGCCTTATTTTATTGCTAACAATTTTGTGGACATGATCAGAAAAGAGCTAAGAAAGTGAATTTTGCATTTATTGCCTCACCACAACTCACACTGTTAGGAAGTTGAGGACAAGGAGGGAGAGAGGAGCCATCACTGCCAAATGCATTCTGTGGAGTAGCATTTAATTATATTTCAAATCTGTGCCTTGAAGTACTCTGTATCTATTTAGAGGCATTCCTCAGCTCTGTGAAGCTGTAGGTTATTTCCCAGGGTTACACACAGAATACTGTTTTTATGAAATTGCTTAATCTTACGGGGATGTGTAGTCGCTGAGAAAAGTGCCTCTCACTATTACTTTACATTCTTTTTCTATTGTTGTGTTTCTGTCACTCATTTTTTCACTGAATGGCTTGGGTTAGAATAAACCTTAAAGATAGTCTCATTCCAACCCCCTGCCATAAGCAGGGACACCTTCCACTGGACTAGGTTGCTCAAAGCCTCATCCATCCTGGCCTTGAACACTTCCAGGGCTGGGGAACGCACAGCTTTTTTTGGGTAACCTGTTCCAGTGTCTCACCGCCTGTTTTCCTCTATGTGCATTTCTCTACAGCAGTTCTCATAAATATACACTATCCATTTCCCTCCCACTCCCTTTTCTCTCTTTTAAAGTAGTCCTCAATTAAATTGCTATGATTATATTACTTGGCTACTAATTATTGTTTCATATTCCGTGTGTTTTATAAGCTCCTCTGGCTATGCCCTTAATATGGGGCTGGTGTGGGCCACAGAGGTAAATACAGTAACTAAGAAGCTTAGCACAGATAATTTATGGAGTTCTCCAGACATGTTTACTTCTATTGCTAGAGAAGTTTGTTTCTCAGAATGTGTTTGCACTTGGGAAGAATGGGAAATTCTTAGATAAATTTTATTGCTTTTGAACACAAGGCATTTACTTTGTTGTTTTCTGTAGGGGGAGGATCTGGCGTTAGGTTCTCTGGTTTTGCAGGTATGGACTGAAGAACATGGGATGTTTTTTCTCCAGGGTGACTGCTGTGGCCCTACTGCCAGAGAAGGTGAGATTCATATGCTGCTTGTGTTGTGAGACTGATCAAACTTGAGTTGTTTCTTTCTTGATTTTTTTTTCCTGTCTTTCATAATTCAAACCACCAGAGGGCACTGAGTATTTTTGGGTACTCTCTAAATAAGCATTTAAGGATGATAATTCAATAAGTGGTTGTACTCCAAAACACTATTAGATACGGAATTAGTCCCCTGATGTTTCATAAAATGCAATAAATCTTTTATGGATTGGGGGGGGGGGGGGGGGGAAAAAAAAGGGCCCCAAAAAAATAAANNNNGGGGGGGGGGGGGGGGGTAATTCTATTCTACGGAAAGGATACTTGCAACTTACTTTAAAATCTTAAAATTATGGGTTTACGTATGTTGCTTTATCATCTGTGGTAAGTAAGCAGTGTTGCCCCCTGGACTCCGCTCTGGGAAGAATGGAGTGCTGCCCTGTTCACCAGCGAACATTAAATGTGACACGTTCTCGCAAGCGCCATGTACTTGCAAGACCTCTCCTTGCCCAAGGGCGTTCTCCAGAGTCCACTCGAGCCTGGGCGCTGTAGTGCAGGCAGGAGGCACACGGGGGCAGCTGGGGACTGATTCGTCCTGTGACAGTGACAAGGGGCTAGTGCTCATTCCTGCCTTTTTGAGACTGCACACTTATCATCGCCTTCGCTAATTCCATCTGCCGCCGTGGCGCGAGGTCTGCCAGGTGCCCCGTGCCGGTGTGCTGCGTTATCCTTTCTTAGCCTTCACAATAGTCAGGGGTTGGGACAGCCCTCTGGCATGAAGGGAGGAATTGTAGCAGCCAAGGCTTATGTTGCCTCGTCTGAGAAAGAATGAAGTCTCCCTGGAGTGTGCTTCTGCAGTGGCATGATAGTGGCCAGCCACAGCCACTTGAGTAGTTGCAGAGCAGCGACAGTTCGTTCCACACGGTAATCTGGTTCATATTTAGCGTGAAATGTGTTTGTGTAAAAACATGTCAGACATGATTCAGCACCCTGGGAAAGGGAGCGAGGTGTGATCCTGTATGAGTAGTTATTTAATTTATGAAATGCTGTTTTCTTACACATACAAAAAATTATGGTTAATGTAGGTCTGAAGCGGCAGTGGGCAGGAGGGTGTGCAATGTTTTACCCAAGTTTCTGCCATTTGCTTTTTAACCTTGCTTTTTAATTGACCTGTAGCTAAGCAGCGCAAGGAAGCTGAAGGTCTGCTTCATTTTCTTGATGAACTCTTAGTGAAAGCAAATCTGCCGTGTTTGCTCCTCTGCAAGTAGTTGGAATGCTTGTATTTGATATCTGGTATAATTTTCACTTTTTTTCATTGCATCCCACATGACACTTGCTAGGTTTGTAAACGTTGGAGCTTCCTAACTTTAAATATTTAGGTGTTGAACTTGTAGCACTCTGGATTTGATCGAGGGTCTGTTATCTTGCAGGTTTATCTGACAACTCTTATCTTCATTGCTGCTTTTGCCTCATCAGCCAAGCAGATAACACTGCAATAGTATCTCTGTTTGGAAGATTAACCAAAAAAGTGAGCCCAATTTGTGCAAGATAATGCAAGAAGCTTGAGACAGGGCAAGGGACAATCCACTATCTGAGAGTAATAGACCATCCAAGTATCCTCCTGCTCTTTTCGCATTTGAACTATAAGCACTGCTGTGGGTGGGACACGTAGTGTTCTGCAAACCAGCACTTTTCATGTTATGTAATGAATCCATATCACTTGAGGTTGACATTGAAACTTGTGATCAGACAGGTATCCACCCAAATGTCAACGAGCAGTCATGAATCACCATTGTTTGCTGAGCGGTATACAGATGGCAAAATTACCAAAGCATCTCTGCTGCCTTACAGAAGATTAACAAAACTATTCAAATATGAAACTACCTACCAAAAATTCTAAAAAAATCACTATATGTATGGAGCTAATTTTACTTGGGTTTATGGTTCTCAGTAGTTAGCAAAAATTGTGTTTGCAATAAAGTTCCTTTGGCTTTTAAAAGAGCATTCTTGCCCTCCTCCACTCATTTTTTTCCAATCTCTCTGTCCCCATTACTGTCTCTTCCCAGATTATTACAAAGGTTAGTAGCTTGGCAAAGAAGAGTAAAACAGGTGATACTTCCCATCTGCATTGGATGGTGCCTGATGAATGTTCCTTCTTCTGCAGCAAGGCAGGGGAAAGGCACTGCAGTATCTTTATTGCTGTGCTGTGGAAGAGCCCACATAAAACAGTGCCACTAGGAAGGCAAGATGACACGGTGCCTGTCCCAGGGAACATGCTCTGGGATGCTCTCCATCACTCTGGTGCTTGCAAAGTAAGCTCAGCAGGAGATCCAGGCAGTCACTTGCAATAGATCAGTAGCA